GGCAAATCCTGGGATCCACAGGAAACCTTCTGGGGGTCACGGCAAATCCTGGGGGTCGCAAGAAACCCTGGGATCCACAGCAAATCCTGGGATCCACAGCAAATCCTAGGGGGCCACAGCAAATCCTGGGGGGCCACGGCAAATCCTAGGGGGCCACAGCAAATCCTGGGGGGCCACGGCAAACCCCAGGATCCATGGCAAACCCCAGGATCCACAGCAAGCCCCAGGATCCACGGCAGCTCCTGGGGACCACGGCACATTCCGAGGGCTGCGGGAAACCCTGGGATCCACGGCAAAGGCCGGGATCCACGTGCCCCACATGTACCACGGGCCCACCTCGCTGGGGGTGACAGGAGGTGTCCTGTGGGGTGAGTGACCCACCGTGGCCACCCCGCCGCCCATCCCAAGCCGGAACACGCCGGCTCCGTGCCCGCAGCGCCGGGAATCGGCTCCGAGCCGGGGCTTGGACCGTCACGGCCTCTCCCCCGCCTTGCAGATGGCGTCGGCTACCGACTCCCGCTATGGGCAGAAGGAATCCTCGGACCAGAACTTCGATTACATGTTCAAGATCCTGATCATCGGGAACAGCAGCGTGGGGAAAACCTCCTTCCTGTTCCGGTACGCCGACGACTCCTTCACGCCCGCCTTCGTCAGCACCGTCGGCATCGACTTCAAGGTCAAGACCATCTATCGGAACGACAAGCGCATCAAGCTGCAGATCTGGGTGAGACCCCCGGGGCACCCTCGGACCCCCACGGAGGGCTGGGAGGGGGTAATCGCGTTGGGGCTGCTCCGCCCTGCGGAGCTGGAAGGGCTGGAAGCACCGGGAGCGGCGCTGGGGTGGGAGGGGATGTGTCCTCAGGGACCTTGGTGGCACCCAGAGCGCCCCGAGGGGTGTCACTGTGTCCCCAGGGGTGATGCTGGGGTGGAAGGGATGTGTCCTCAGGGACCTTGATGACACCCAGAGCGCCCTGAGGGGTGTCACTGTGTCCCCAGGGGTGACCTGATGGGAGGGGATGTGTCCTCAGGGACCTTGGTGACGCCCAGAGCGCCCCGAGGGGTGTCACTGTGTCCCTGGGGATGACATGGTGGGGAGGGA